CCCCCCCCCTACTTCCCCTTCCTATTCGGGCACCCTGGACTCGAACCACCCCTCCCCCTTTGACGGCGCCCTCGCTAGCCTTGCTAGCGTCGTCCGCCGCTTTCTACCGCGGACCCCTCCCTATGCCCTCCGCTCACTCGGACCTCCTCTGGCCCCGTCCAGTTCGGCCCGTCACCTCCCCATGGCCGACGGTGTGTCACACGCCGCCGACGCGGCGATGACCACGGCACCGGGCTCCACACCCATGCCGGCGGACCAGGCCTATCAGCCCCAGGGGATCTGCACACCCTCCTCACTTCCCTCCTCTCGCCCATCCAGGCACAACTCGTAGTCCTAGCGCCCTTACAGGCGCAGGTGGCGACCCTTGTCTCCGGCATGCAGCAACTCCAGGACGCTACGTGTCCTTCATCTCCTGGCTCCCAGACCGGGTCCCCCGTCCTCCGACAGGGTGGCCAAGGTGGAGCTTCCTCCTCCGCTGCCCCCGACCCGGCCATCTTGGTGACTGTCCACGCCCCTAGCACGACGACTACCACAAGTCAAGCCATCCCTCAGTCTACGCGCGCACCCGCCCAAATTTCGGTCACTACGGCCACGGGACAACAACCCGCTACCATGGTCTCAGCTTTTCCGGGTGCCCCGCTGTCGGCGCGAATACCCTTACAAGGGTATCCGCCCTGGTTTTTGCAAGTGACAAAAGATAAGGTTTGCTCAGAATTTGAGTATACTGTGCGAAGTTGCGGTTGTGTTTGGTTCGCGTTGACTGAATGGTTGACAGGAATTAAAGTATATATGGGCACGTAGTTTTGAGACGCGCGTGATGATTTTTATTTTTTGATGCTATAGGGTCGGCGTTTCCGCCGGCAAAAATTCTGGCTTTGGTTAAAACTAGGAAAGTTTTTTTTTATTGGACTAACCATGGTACATCTGCATTCACACGGCATGCGCCATCAAAGGTGGCATTGCTTTGAGCAGTAAAGTGGGGTATGCGAGAGAAAGTAGCATGCAAGCGGCCACCTCCGCGTGGTAGATGCGGGAGGTTGACAGCCGTGGACGAAGCCAGGTCCTATGCGCGGCAGTTGATGAGATCGCATAGTGTGCAACACACTAAGGTGACGGGGTATTACTGGTGTTTGGACTCATCAGAGGGGTCCTAGGGAGGAAGTACGAACAGGATTTGGGAGGAGCAAAAGTCGGGGGTTTCCGGCAAGGCGGTGGTAAAAGGGCCGGTCGCGGCAGGCTATGAGAGCCTCGGGCCGCGACCGCGGCATGAAGGGGCGATGCTCGTGGTGAGCCGAGCAACGTCTGCCCTTATGGCGGCGGAACATGACATCACAAAGTCATGGGCTTGGGGAATAAGCCAAGCGGTGGCCTTGGCACACACTTGCGGGCCTGGGCTTAGCCCTATTGGTTACA